GGTTTAGGGCTCATAAGCCCTAAGCCCTGATAGGGCTTAGGGCCTTCATGATGCCAACCTCGGGCCGGAAGTCCAAATTTAATCTACGTTGGGTCTCCTGAGCCCTAATGTAGACCCGTGAGGAAGAACCCCCTCCCCGGAAAAGGGATTATAATAGGGATCCGAATATAAAGGCCCTTAGAAGGAGGGGGTTTATTAATCAGAGGTCTACATTAGGGTATTACCAGGTGTTTCGGGTTTGAAATCATTGGGTTCCAAGGATTCGCTGGAGATGCAATGGCGGTTCCACAATGTGCCTCAAAGGTTCACGTGGCTTGGCATGCTGCTCAAGCTTATGGGTCAGGTCAGGGTTTGCTGCAGTTTAGGGTTAAGGGTTGGGGTTTGTCGGGAAACCCCAAACCAGAGAAAGCTTAAATGGAGTCTTCACCCAAGCACATTTTCACAAAATTCCAAAAACTATGCCTACCCTTGAGTCATTGGAGGGAAGAATCTCACGACTGGTTCTATGTTCACAAAGCCCATGAGGTAGGCCGCTTAGACTTTATGTCTGTGTCCTAAGCCCGTCTGGGATCATCTGGGTGCTTCCATGAAACCCTAAGATGTGGGTACTATTCATGGACCTTAGGGCCCAATCAAGTCATTCTTGATAGACCTAGAGCTAGGGCAAGCACCCGCAAGCTGTCGATATTGATTTACATTACTCCTGTGCCGATACGGTGTGTTGATAACCTCAACTCTCGAAGTAAAGACCCACACGAGTCATGTCGTACCGCTGACAGTAGAAAGGACAGGACTATTGAAGCCGTTCTAGTAATAAAAACAACAACAAAAATGTCATAAAACATCCGCAGAAACGAAACAATAACAGCGGCGCTTGTAGGAGTGGGAGGAGTAGTAGTAATAGCAATAGATTCATGATAGAGTTCACAACAGCAATAAGAATACAGCATGCAGCCCGCGGCGCGGCTGAAATAGATCAAAGGGTCCAAAGTACCTATATGGTACAAAGTCTGGTTTGTGTAGTAGTAATTTCCTTTATTGTTTGGGAAAGTATTCCCTAAACCCCAAACCCTAAACCCTAAACCCTCTATAGTTACTTTGGACCCTTTGGGTAGATCCTGGGAGCTCGCAGAGATGAGCGGCTTCCGATGCTGCAGCCCTTCCCATGGCTACGCATGACGAAGGCTTGGGATTATAGGGTTCTACACGGGTTATATGGGGGTATATAAGGAATTATATAGGGGTTGTATAGGGAAAATGGAAAATGACATGGAAACTATTATTTGTTGGGTTTACTGCTTGGGGTTTAGGCGCTACAGGGTTACCAATTGAAGGAGCTGTAGGAGCTTTTAGGGAGTAAATGTTAAGACTTAGGATCTAGAGTTTAGGGCATCTCGGAAGCCTTAACCGCTGGGAGGAATTCAAGCATCAGATCTTCTGCAAGAACTAGTCATAGCCTATTGTTTGTTTTTTTTTGAATGTGATTCTTGTATAGGAGATGATATAACATCTGAATGCGATGTTATATGGATTTATCGCGTTTTTGATTCGTTTTTTTCAACAGATCTTAGTTATATTTAAAAGACTTCGAATTCTGTGTATTAAGATGTTGAATCGTTTTTAACCAGATAGTATTTAGATTTGAACTGGCCTTAAGTCGATTTTCAAATTCTACAGGTTTTCTTAGATCTCGACTATATTTCAATTGCCTTAATCGATGGATGTTGTTTATCCGATTTTATGTGATTTGAAATTTGGTTCATTCTTGATTAAAATCTCATTGCTTTCAATCCAACTTCAAAGGATTTGAATGACATGTTAAGTACAATAGTATCAATTTTAGGTGGTTTTAGTTGGTGTCAAGTAGTGTTAGTCGGGTTTAGGTAGATCCCCGAGAGTTCTTTGCAACAACCTCCCCCTATAAATAGACGTTCCGGGTGGATTTTGTAAGGGGCGAGGGCACGCCCAAAAAGACGACTGTCCTTTCAAAAGGTGACATGGTCGTATCGGGTTGCGTGTTTCTGTGGAGCCGGCGGGCGCGAGTCACCAGGATGTTGGTTTAGGTTCTCTGTAATTCCTGTACTTGCCCAAAGGGTCCAAAGTACCTATATAGGGAATACTTTTCCAAACAATAAGGGAAGTTACTACTACAGAAACCATACTTTGGAATATATAGGTACTTTGGACTCTGTGGGTTCTCTGTAATTCCCTTACTTGAAGGCGTCGCACTCTTCGTCGATGCTTGATTGGATCGCACTTTGTCAAATCTTCTGGGTGCAAGTTAAGAGACGGGAATTGAAGAACATTGCAATCCGGAGGCACCGCTTCGTAAACATTCTACTTCCCTTCGTGGGCCCCTAGTACTTATCTCTGTGGGATTGATCATCTGGCTTGGGGTTATTTGGCTACACCAAGGCTTGGAACACGCAAGGGGTCTCAATGAAGATCCTTGTCAGTGAGATTCCAGGATTTGCTTGTTTGGGGTTAAGTGCATTGGGCTCGGGTTTGGGGCTCAGTGAGTTTCATGTTGAGGTTGCTGATCTGTCGTGGACCTCGGATGGATTTGGTTTGAATAATTACTGTGCTGCCTCAGACTAATTGCGAGCAAATTGCAAACGTTAAACTTAAGAGCCTCCGGCTCAGTCCGCCGACCCAGAGGCGGACAAATCGCGAAAGCCTAAACCCTAAACCTTGAGGATTTTCAGCGGCTGGCACGAGACCAACAAGCGCAACAAGGTTAGTCCAAGCTAG